CCCCAAGGCATGCAGTCCAAATGCATCAGCTGCCTCTGAAAACCTGCTGGAGGGTCAGCTCTATAGTATTCAACAACAATAGCAACAACCACAACCACAACAACAGCTATTCCTTTGCCTGTCTTGTCATTTATTTATTGAACCATACAGCATAAGGAAGATCTCTAGGTGATGCAAATTATGTGAACTAAGTGGTGATCTAGTAGCAAGAAGCTGTGCTGTTATCCCAAAGGCGTGAGGTTCGAGTCCACCAGCTGCTCCACAGGAGAAGGCTGGAGAATGTGATTTACTGCCTCTGAAAACCTGCTGGTCACCTACAGTTTGGTTTGGACCTGACAGCACACAACAACAACTGACTGATATAAAGATTGGAAGTGTGAACTCACCCAGTGATACTATGGATGAAAGGTCTTGTGATCTGCTCTCATAAAGATGACATTCAAGGAAATCCTATGAAGCAGCTCCACTCGGCAGCACATGTGAGGCCACCATGAATCAGAACCAACAGCAACAGGTGACACAGCATGAGGAGGCCTCCAAATTCTCTTTCTTACCAGAGAAAAACTGAAGTCCAGAGATACAAAGTGACTTGGCCAAGTTAACAGCACAGGCAAGGTAACAGTTTCCAACACTGCTCTCACATTTAAGTGTCTACAGGGTCAGGGAGCTGTCCTGGCCTAATGGTAAGGAGTTGTGCTGCCAACCTCAAGGTACATAGTTCAAATCCATCAGCTGCTTCATGGGGGAAAGAGGGACAATCTCCTCTGACTTGCTGTCTCTGAAAATTCACTGGAGGGACAGCTATTAAGATGATCTTGACACAATGGTCCACAACAACACTCCTGGGTCAGAGAGCTCTGGCTGAGTAGTGTGTAAGGAGTTTTGCGGCTCATCCACAGGCCAGGCCTCTAGCACTTTTCATCCACAAGCCAGCTGCAGGAGAAATGCATACAGTCTCCTCCCATGCAATGTATAGTCTCAGAAATGCAATGGAGAGCCAGCAAGGAGTTGATTTCAATTTGACAAAAATGAGAGCGACAGGGTCAGAAGGATAATAAAGAGCTGAGAGAAGAGATAAAGAGAAGTGTATACACCTAGTCTAACCCATGAGCAGCTTCAGCTCACAGCTTTGTAGGCCAGAAAGCCAGTGCTGGTAGAAGTTTTACTTTCTATAGAGATGAGGGAAACTTGAAATTATATATATATATAATCAACTAATTTTAAAATGTTGGCAAGAAGCTTAAAAGATCTTAAATAAACTTCTCTGCAGGTCAAACAAGACATATGCAAGGGCTGGATTTAGTCTGTGCTAGCCGGTCGGAGGCACGTTGCTTATCCTAGTTTTAAGTTCTTTTATTTAATGTGCGTTGATTCTCTCAATCCCTGCTCAGAATACTTCCAATGGTTCCCTACTGTTTCTAAGGCAGCGTCCATCCAAACCTGTTAGCCAGTCCTTCAAGACAATTCACCATCAGCACCCATATTTCATTGTCATTACATGTCATCTTCTTTCATTTTAACTAGAAAGGTCACTTTAATTCTCTTCTCAAGGTCCAGCAGTGGTCCTGCTGCAGAAATATCGGCAATCTCCTCTCATGTGATTGGAGCTTTTGGTGGCTAAGTCCATAGTGAGTTGTACTGCCAAACCGAAGGCAGTGCTTCTCTGGTGGTGTGAATCTACCAGTCACTTGCCAGGAGAAAGACAGGCAATTTTTTCCCGTTTAAGCAACAGCCTTGGAAAAAATCTGCTGGCTGGTATCAGCTATGAGTTGGTTCTGACTCAACGACAAGGACCACCTACCTGCCTGTGAGAAGTGGGTTGCTTCTCGGCTCCCAAATATCCTACCCACTTTGAGTCCGTGATTTTCCCTTTCCTTGAATCCTTTCACCTGAGCACTCCTATCAATGAAACCATGTTTATTCATAAGTGTGTAGTTCAAATACCCTCTCTCCACAACATTCCTGATGGCTCCAGCTGGAAGTGACTTTGTTCTGAATTTCCACAGGATTTGATCTTACCCACAGAACACCAGTTACTGCCTTGCTTAGAGATATCTCCATAGCTTATCCTCCCAAGCAGTGAAAAGCATTTCTACAAGGAAAGGTTTAGTCTTAGACTACACTAACCACCAAGTGCTTTGTACACAATAGACAGTTTAATGAACATCCTAGAAACACTATGCTCTGCATTGGAAATGTGTGCATCAAACACAAAATACCCCTGCAGAACTCCACCTACAGCATCCTATCTGCATGTCTTTGTTGTTATTGTCACTGAGTTGATTTTGACTCATGGTCAAATCACACTGGTACAAAGTAGAACTATAGGCTTCTTGAGGCTCTGGCCTTTTAGAACCACATCACCAGGACTTTATTCTGAGGCACCTATGGGTGGGTTCAAACTGCTGGCACTTCAGCTAGGAGTTGAGCATTTAACCATTTGTGCCACTCTATAGAGAGCACTGGTGGCAGAGTCTGTGGTGAGGTGCTTACCCAAAGGCTATTATCCCCAGTGGTTCGAATCCACCAGCTGTCTAAAGAAAAGAGATAAGCATTTTCCTCCTGTTTATATTTACAGCCTTGGAAAACTTGATAAAGGGCCACTCTCGGGTGCCAATGTGACTGGCAATGAGTTTGAGATCTCGGGGGTTTTGTGTTCTTTTGTTTGTTTGTTTGTTTTTTAAGTTTATAGACAGGGTTGTATAGCAAGTTGGCAAACACTAGAACGGCACAAAAGAGGTGAAGGCTTCACCTCCCTGGCTCCCCTCAAATGCTTTCTATTGAATAATGTCTTTTTTGCTTTGAGATGCCCCCTGTCCAGAAACCTGCACAACTTTGCCTTAGACGACACTGTTTCTAAGAGGACACTGATAAACCCTCGTCTGTTACTTGGAAGTGATCCAGGGGAGTCAGTATTTTTCTATGAGGAAGGTTAATTTATCAGATTTGATGGTTATCATTTTGAAAGGCTCAGAGAACTGGGCTATTAGTGAACAGACAGTGTGCAAATATTTCATTTGTGATAACATTGATGAAAGTGTCACATTAAACCCTGACTTTGCACCAGGCAAGGCCAATTTTGAGTGATGAGAGTCACAATGTTACATCTTGCACTACATTCTTCTGAAGCCATCCCCCTTTTCAGTCATCTATCTTCTGTGAGTGTCAAATGAGGAAAGAAAAAGAAAATCAGGCTCCATTTTATTTTTGCTGGCAGAGGCATTCAAGAAACATTTGTTGAATGAATTTTTTTAAAAAAATAACAATTTTTGCTTTTGCTTAAAACAAATACAATTACTGGAAGGTTAAAATGTCACAGTCTTATAAGATGGTTTACACGAAGAGAAAGTTGACACACACAGTCTTATGTGGAATCAGCAATGGTTTCGATGCCAGCTGAGTAATTTTTATTAGCATATTGTGGACACACCCTTTCCAACCTGTACAAACACATACTGTCAAAGACAAGTTAAGCCTTATAAACATTATTGTTCCCTTCCCATTATGTCAGATGACAACCTGAATTCAATGTCAGAGAGCCAAGACAATCAAGAATTCCAGGAAATGCTCAAGAGAACGAATGACTACGGAGCTTTCCACTGTGAAAACAGTTCTCTTCTGTTTTGGATGATGCCACGGCAGGTCACAACTACAAACCTACTTTCTTTACCAAAAGGGGACAATTTCTTCTTTAGTTTTCCTTGGGAGACTTTTCAACATAAACAGAACATAACAGATATCCTCAACTTCCCATAAAATATGTGTTTTTTTCTGTGTATATTTTCAACAACTACAAAAATAAATCTTTTTAAAAAAGTGGTATTTTCTTCCAACCACCCATTGGGGTAGGTTACATTCTGTGATTAAAAGGAATCAGTTTCTCCATTTTTTTTTCTATTTCAGTGTTATTTGTGAAAAACAAAAGCAAATTTAAAGCAATAACTCCCCCCTCCTCTCTTTACTGAAGATGAATAATAGTGAACATGCTTATTTTTTTTCTTGATATAAATCTTTTGCATTAATGCTTGGCAGAACAAAATGTGAACATCTTCAAGACTAACAGCAGACACTTTTTAAGCATAAAAGGATGCTACGCTTTTAGATTGTAGGATGAAAACCACAATCGAGAGGAACAGCAACACATATTTTGTGATTATCTTGGGCTGAAATAAAAAGATCGGCGGATTTGTTAAAGAGTAAGAACAAAGTACTACACTTAAAAGGAGGAGGCAGCCTGGATTCCACCAACAGCCTCATTCGCCTCTACATGAAATAGAAATGCTGCTGGAGGAAAGGCTGGCTGGCCAGGGTTCCTATTCTGATCTTAAACCATGCCAAAAAAGAAATGGGCAGCTCCAACCTTCTTTGATCTCGTTAAATGTATATTTCCAGCATAAACTGGCGTTGTTAAGGCTGACAATGTTTTCCCAAAGGGCCGGTGAGAACGGCTGAGAGAGTCACGCAATTGCAACCTGAGAGGATGAACATTCCTCTCAAGGAAATGGAAGGGCTGAGCAGAGAGACTTCGGGGACACACGCGCAGCGCATCTGCGCCAACTGACATTTGGGTGCTCTTCATGAGTTCCCTGCTTATGAGAATGGGGTGTCACTTTAAAAAAAACAAACAACAAACCTGTAAGATGATCTTGGGATGAATAAGAGTGGAGATTCACTCCCACACTCCCTAGAATCCTTCCGGGAGGAGAGGGTGGTTTCAGGCTGGAGAAGTGGAGTCCCAGGGATGACCCCAGAGGTCAGGGCCCCAGACATGGGGACCCATTGCAGTTAAGGATGTAAGAGAATAGAAAATGGGGTGTGCTTGCTCTTCAGCCTGAGGGCTAGTTAGGTCAATGCGTGCAAACATCATGTGTCTGTTTCCCACTTGGGCAGCCTGGGCGTCCTTTGGGGAGCTGGCAGGGAAGCGGGGCGCAGAGCCAGAGGCGCGCGATGGCGGCCCGGGCACCGCCCTGCTCCCCAGCTCCGCGGCGGGCGGCCCTTACCTGGTTCCTGCGGTACCACTCGCCAGACAGGGAGCCGTTACCCGCGCCGGCCCCGTAAGTGAAGTTCCACGCCAGCTCGTCCAGGGCGGCCGAGGCGGCGTCCCCGGGCACCAGCGCCGCCATCAGGGCTCGCTCCCCAGGCGCGGGCTTGGGCCGCCACCCGAGCCGGCCGCAGCGCGAGGCCCCGCGGAGGAGACGCGCTCTTGGAGGCCGTTCCCGGGCCAGCGCCGAGGCCACTTCCTGCTCAGCGTCCCGGCGAGGCGAGGCGGCGCGCCCAGGCCACCTGGCTCCCGCCCCCGCACGGAGGCAGGTGCCGGCCCGCCCGGCCTGGCCTGGCTCGGAGCGGCCTCCCAGGCTCTGCAGCGAGGGCCCTGGGGAAGCCCGGCGGGCTGCGGCCTCCTGGGGTGGCCCAGCTCACACCGCGCCCTGCACCCACCAGGCCTTAGTGCACAACATCCGCACAGGCCAGAATGCCCAGGGAAATCTGAGTGCAAGCGTACAGGGTCTGCAAAAGTCAGGGGAAGGAACTACCTTCGTCCTCCCTGAGCTTGGCCACTTGAGCTCTGGTAGTGACGGTCTGACTCAAAACGACCCAGTGATGGAAATCTTCCCTATCCTGAGGCAATCCTCACAGTCTCCACCGTGCTCAAGTGAATTGTTGCAATGTGCCAGTCCATCTCATTGAAGGTCTTCCTTCTGCAGGCCTTTTACTTTTCAAAGCATGATGTCTTTTAGCAAAGACATGCCCAAAGAATGTGAGATGACATTTCACCACCTGTGCCTCTGAGAGCAACCTGTGGCAGCCCACAGAATGAAGTCATCCTCAAAATCACTGCTATGTTTGAGCCCGTTGTTGGAGCGGATCTTCTGCTTTATCAAGCATGTTGTCCTTCTCCAGGAACCATTTTCTTGCTGTTATTAGGTGCCATCCAATTGAGTACGACTCACTGCAACCCTATAAACAACAGCCCTGAATTCTGTCTTATCCTGTGCCTTGCTCACCATCATACTTGAGCCCATTGCTGCAGTCACCATGTCGTTCCAACTTGATGGGGGTCTTCCTCTCCTTCACTGACCCTCGACCCTTCCAAGCATGATATCTTTTCCTCTGGAATAACCCCTCCTAGCAATATGTCCAAAGCACGAGAACCAAAGCTTTGCCATCTTTGTCTCCTAGGAGTCCTCTGATTGCATCCTCTTCAACACAGGCATACCTGTTCATTCTTTTGCAGTCCATGAGATATTGAGTACTCTTTTCTAACACCACAACTCAAAGGCATCCATTCTTCTTCTGGCATCCTCATTCATTGTTCAGCTCTCTGTTGCAAAGTAGGTGATTGAGAAGACCATGGTCTGAATCAGGAACACCTTAGTTTTCAAACTGGCATCATTGCTCTTTAGTATTTTGGAAAGTCCCTGACAACAGATATGTCCAAGACAGTACGTCTCCTTATCTCTTTATTGCTGATATTAAAGGTGTTGACTGTGGATCCAAGCAAGAAGATACCATTAACAGTTTCAGTTCTTCAATATGGATGGCATCTTAATATCAAGAAGACAAGAGTCCTTACCACTGGGCCAGTAGGCAACATCATGAAAGAGGGAGAAAGGAACTGGTCCCCCTGATAAATGTCCAAAGTATGTGAGTCAAAGTGTTGTCTTCCTAGATTCTTTTTTTAAATTTTTTTCCCATTTTTATTGTATTATTTTTTATGTGTAGTGTCAAATCGGATCTGACTGGTACAGGAGGAGATTGCCCCCTCCTTCTCCAACAGAGCATCTGGTGGATTTGAACTGCGTACCTCTGGGATTGCAGTGCAGCGTCTTGCCACTAGGCCACCAGAGCTCCCTTCCTAGATTCTGAGGAACATATTTCTGGCTATATTTCTCCCAAGGCAGATTTCTTTTTTCTTTTTAGCAGTTTATAATGTATGACATATTCTTCACCAACATAGCGATCAAGAGGCATCAGTTCTTCTTCAGTCTCATTTACCTATTAGCCAGCAATGTGCTGGAGGAAGATGGGTAATCTCCTTCCCCAAAAATGTACAGGTTCTGTCTTCCTTATTCATTGTCCAGCTTTGGAATGCATAGAAGGCAGTTGAAAATACCATGTCTGGGTCAGGAAAATCTTTAAAGTGACACCTTTGCTTTAAAGAGGTCTTTTGTAGCAGGTTTGCCCAAAGAAATAGCTTATTTCTTGACTGTAGTTTCCATGGCCATTAATTGTGGATCTAAGTAAAGTGAAATTCTTGACAACTTCCATATTTTCTCCATTTGTCGTGATGTTGATATCCAGTTGTGAGGATTTTTGTTCTCTTGATAATATGGTATAAACCATATTGAAGCTGTTGCTGTTCATCAATAAGAGCTTCAAGTTCTCTTTGCTTCCTACAAGTAAGGCTGTACAATCTTCATATCTCAGGTCATTATTGAGTCCTCCTCCAGTCTTCATATAGTCCAGCTTCTCAGAATCGTATCAGAATCTATAGCATACAACTGTCTGTGTTTGTGTTATGTGACATTGAGTCAACTATGACTCATGTTGTTGTTGTTGTTATGTGCCGTCGAGTCGTTTCCGACTCATAGCGACCCTATGCACAACAGCCCTAAACCTTGCTCTATTCTGTGCCAACCGCACCGTCTCTGACACAGCCATCCCGATTACCCCAGTCACCGAATCAATCCATCTCATAGAGGGTCTTCCCCTCCTGCGCTGTCCCTCCACCCTCCCAAGCATGATGTCCCTCTCCAAGGACCCGTCCCTCCTGGCAACATGTCCAAAGTATGTCAGACGAAGCCCCAGAATCCTTACCTCCAAGGAGTAGCTTGGTTTAATCCTCTCCAAGATGAATCTGTTTGTTTTCCTGGCAGTCCATGGTACATTCAGTACCCTTCTCCAGCACCACAGCTCAAAAGCATCCACTCTCCTTCTGTCCTCCCTAGTCATTGTCCAACTCTCTGATGCATAACAAGTGATTGCAAATACCATGGCCTGTATCAGGCGCACCTTAGTCTCCAGAGAGACACCATTGCTCCTGAGTACCTTAGAGAGGTCCCTAACAGCAGACTTTCCCATCACGATACGCTTTTTTATTTCCTGACTGCTGGTGCCAAGAGTGTTGACTGTGGAGCCGAGCAAACTGAAGCTGTGAACACTCTCAATCTCTTCGTCATCCATCCTGACGCTTCCAATTGGTCCAGTGGCGAGAATCTTTGTCTTCTTGACATTGAGCCTTAGTCCATACTGAAGGCTGCAGTCCCTGACCCTCTGCAGCAAGTGCGTGGGGTCCTCCTCAGTTTCAGCAAGCAGGGTTGTGTCATCTGCATAACACAGATTGTTAATAGATCTTCCACCAATCCTGATGCCACAATTCTCCTCATAGAGCCCAGCCTCTCGGATAATCTGCTCTGCATACGTGTTGAAAAGGTATGGAGACAGGATGCATCCCTGGCGTACACCCTTCCCAATTTTGAACCATGCAGTGTTACCCTGCTCTGTTCTGACTACTGCCTCTTGGTCCAAGTATAGGTTTCGTATTAGCACAATTAAATGTTCTGGGATTCCCATTCTTCTCAGAGTCAGCCACCGTTTGTTATGATCCACACAGTCAAATGCCTTTGCATAATCAATAAAACACAGATAGACATAGCAACCCAATAAACAATAGCGTTGAACCCTGCCCTATCCTGTGCCATCCTCATCATCCCTTTATACCTGATATACCCTCTACCTTTCTAAGTATGATATTTTTTTTCCCCAAGGACTGGCCCCTCCTAACAGTGTGCCCAAAGTATGTGAGACAAAGCTCCACCACAGTCACCTCCAAGGAGAAGCCTGGTTGTACCTTCTCTAAAGACATATTTGCTTGTCCTTTGGGCAGTGCATGCGATGTTCAGCACTTTTCTGCAGCACCACAATTCAAAGGCATCAATTCTTCTTCTACCATCCTCAGTCATTATCCAATGTTTACATGCATAGCAAGTAATAGAAAAGACCATGGCTTGAATTGGGCGCACGTTAGTCTTTAAACTGACATTTTTGCTCTTTAGGCCTTTGGAGAGGTCCTTAACAGGAGTGCTTCCCAACCCAACATGTCTTTTGATTTCTAAAGTGTTGCTAGTACCAAGAGTGTTGACTGGGTACCCAACTCAGAGCTAATCATTGTGGTGCTCTGGTGGCATGGTCCATGAGGAGCTGAGCTCCTAACTCCAAGGTGGCTCTTCACGGGTGGTTCCAATCCACCAGTGTCTCAAGGAAGACAGATGGGCACTCTTCTCTCTCTCTCTCCCCCCAGCCCCGTCTCTCCCTCTCTCATCTATCTATCTCCCCAAAGTGGGCAGTTTGAATCCACTAGCTCCTCCATGGAGAGAAAATGGGCACTCTCCTCCCATGGACAGCTCTTCCAGCCACAGAAACCAAATAAGGGGAGGGGGGAGGGGTCAGCTTTCCCGTCAGTTCCAAGTCTACAGCAGTGAGTGAGTGAGTAAGTGCTCTATACCCTCAAACTTACTCATTGACATTGAGTCAGAACCCACTCATAGCTGACACTCCAGCAGGTTTCTGAGGCTGTAAATGAGAGGAGATTGCTCATCTTTCTCTAGAGGAGTGGCTGGTAGATTCCAACCACAATAGAGGTGAGGCCCTTGGGTTAGCAGGATAACTCACCTCTGACTAGGCCACCTGAGTGTGTTCTCTCTCTCTCTCTCTCTCACACACACACACACACACACACACATACACACACAAAATTCTATATAGATAATAACTGAACCTGTTGCTGTGAAACAGATCCTGACTCATTAGAACTGCCCCATAGGATTCCAAGGCTTTAAGGAAGAAATTTTTAATTCAAGCCTTGAGATACAATATTAAAGGATTTTATATGTAAAATATTGAATGACACAAGGAACATCAAAAAAAAGATTGATCATTGCAACAAAAATATTGATCAGTGTTCAACCATTCAGGAAATAGTATATGGACAAGCATGACATCAAAGGAAGAAGTTCAAGCTGCCCTAAAGGCATTGATGAAAAACAATGCTATAGGAATTGACAAACTATCAATTGAGACGTTTCAACAAACAAATGCAACTGGTGTTGCTGTTATTTGCTGTTGAGTTGGAACTAACTCATAGCTAATTCTCCAGGAAATTTTCACCTGGAGATTTGGAAGATTGTTCCTTCACTGGAAAAGATACATATTTGTGTTCATTATTCTAAAGAAAAGTGCCCTAACAGAATGCATACCTTATCAAACAATATCATTAATATCACATGCAAGTAAAGTTTCCCTGAAGTCCAGAAATGGTTGTAGCAATACATAGACAGGGAACTGCCAGAAATTCAAGGCGGATTCAGAAGAGGA